AAAAAAAAAAAAAAAAAAAAAAAAAAAAAAAAAAAAAAAAGATTACCAAAATTAAAAACTTTACATTGACATAATACTATTATGTAATCTACAGGTTTTATTTAAATTTCTCCAGTAGCTATTTTTTTTTTTTTTCTGGTCTAGGATCCAGTGTAGGATAGTGTATTGCATTTAGTTTTCTTGTTTCTTTGATCTACTTTAATCCTGAACAACTTCTCAGCCTTTCTTTGTTTTTCATGGCATTGATATTTTAATTTTGTCTGATGTTTATTCATGTTTTGTTTTGGATTATGTAATTTTTTTGTAGAAATACTACATAAGTGGTGTTTTTAGAGCACCACATCAGGAAGGTCTTGATGTTAGTTTGTCACTTTATTGGTGATGGCAGGAGAGGCAATTCTGTCAACAGCAACAATGACTGGGTGGGGGTTCCATGGCTTCAGTTTCTTTACCATTCACTAATTTAACATTCAGCAAGTGTTTATTGAGTGCTTTTTGGCTTAGATCCCATATTAAGGTACAGTGGTGAAAGGATGTAATCTCTTTTCATGGAATTTAAACTTTAGTGTGGGGTACAGACATTAAACAAATAATCACACCAATAATTAATTCCAATAGTGCCAAGTGACTAAAGGAAAAGTGCAGTACTAGAGGGGGTATGTGCAATAGGGGAGCTAAATCTGGAGTTAGGGTTGGAAAATTGGGCATGAGGAAGAAGGCAGAGGCTTTTGTGTAGCAGCCTTAGTGACTAGAAACAGACATTCCATAGGGGAGTGCTAGGGTGCCCTATGTTCTAGGGATAAATCTAACTTTTGCAAATGATAGTTGTCTTTCTTGCCAGGATCAAGCTTAATGTAGGACAGCTTAATCACAGGATGTTCTCAGAGCTTGAATTTTAGCAATTTAAACAGTTTGGTGATACTTTTTTCTTCTTTTCTGTCTTTTAGTTTTACTTTGAACTCTGAAGGCTGTAATAGAAGACCAGGGGGCCGTCGCCACAGCAAAGGCAATCCAGAGAGTTCCTTAACGTGGAAACCTCAGGAACAGGCTGTAACAGAGATGATTTCTGAAGAGGGTGGCAAGGGTCTGAGGCGTCCCCGTTGTACTGTGGAGGAGGTAAGCCATTTTAGCCTGATTTGTTTAAAAAATATATTTTATGGATTTTTTTCAGGAATAAGCAATATAAGGGTACTTCAGAAAGTTCATGGAAAAATAGAGTTGAAAGATAATACAAATGGTTTGTTTTTGGTTTTGTTTTTGACAGGTAAGGGATCTGAACCTCTGATCTTTATTTGGGGGGTACCTGAATTATTCTAACTTGTTTCTTTTATAAACTGTAATAACTGACTAAGGGAAGTAAATGGTGTGCAGCTCTGCTTTTTTCTTCTTCACAGCACTTAGCATGATGAAGAGACAGTCTTCTCTTCAGTTCCCTCTTGAGGTTTCACTTATTCCAGGAAAATTTATTTATTTATTTATTTATTATTTATTTATTTTTTTTTTTAAAAAGATGACCGGTAAGGGGATCTCAACCCTTGACTTGGTGTTGTCAGCACCACGCTCACCCAGTGAGCGAACCGGCCATCCCTATATGGGATCCGAACCCGTGGCCCTTATTTTTTTTTTTAAAAAGATGACCGGTAAGGGGATCTCAACCCTTGACTTGGTGTTGTCAGCACCACGCTCACCCAGTGAGCGAACCGGCCATCCCTATATGGGATCCGAACCCGTGGCCCTGGTGCTATCAGCACCGCACTCTCCTGAGTGAGCCACAGGCTGGCCCCCAGGAAAATTTAGAGTTATTCCAGTGTCTGGCATTACCCGGGACTGTCAGCTATTTCATTTTGTTAGATGGTTTTCCTAATTACTTATTTAATTTAGTCTAGTTCAGTTCATCAGACTTGGTTTTCTGAGCCACTTCTTTGGTTTAGTTCATCAAAGAAATACTTATTTGGGTTCCATCAAGGATATATTTGTTGATTAAGTATGATATAAAGTAGAGGGAAGAGCCTGAGTCCCAGACTTTGGTATTGGATAAATACATGTCACCGATAAGATACCCTATGAGGGGGAAGATGATGACTTCAGTTTTGCACATTATTTAAAATGCCTGTGACACGAGCAAGAAGACCTCTCTTGTAGACTCTTGGATGTAGGAGGTTGGAATTTTGAGAAGAAGGCAGGGTTAGAGACACATTTCTGAATCTTCTGCATATTGATGTTATTTAAATAAGAGGAGCTATGGAGATTATTCAGGGAAAGAATGTAGTGTGAGAAGAAATGGGCAAAACCGTCAGCATTTAAAGCAGGCAGGCTGAAGAAAGACTAATCTGCAGTGGAGACTGAGAAGAAGAATGATAAGAACGTGTTATCCAGGAAGGCAAGGCAAGGTCAGCAGGGTGAGATGCTGAAGAGAGATCAAGTAACACTAGGGCTGAGAAAGTGTCTGTGGGTATGGCCATAGGAGGCCATTGCTGATTATGGTGAGACCAGTTCCATTTTGGAAGCTGCATATTCTGATTATGTAAGTGGATAATTTCTGCTATGATTTTTTGTGGTCAACCCAAGTCTGTTTAATCCAGTTCTGTCAAAAACTCAGATGCCATCCAGATCTAGCAGATAACATAATGAGTGAAGTGTTGGAGAGCAAATGGCCCATCTGAAGGGGGTAGCCCAACAAAGCTACAGATTGTTGATTCAGTTTTTCAAAAGAGGACAGATTTTTAGATTTTTAAAAATTTATAAAGTTGGTAACTAATTCAAAGAAATTTTAAAAACACTCTGCTGGCCAGTAAAACACATCTGTGAGCTGCATTTGACCTCTTAGTCTCTGTTTATTATTTAATTAGAGGTTTAATGTGCTAGTACTTATGTAACATTCTTCCTTTTATTTAGGGTGTTCAAAAAGAGGAGAGAGAGAGGTACCAAAGGTTATTGGAGCGACTTAAAGAAGGTGGTCATGGAAACTCTGTCCCTCCTGTAACTTCAAATCATCACAGGTAAAAATGAGCTAAAATGATTAATGCCTTGTTAGACATCTTTTTCCTTGTTTTTTGGAGAGGGAATTTGTGGGAAGGGCCTTATTGCAAAAAGAGGTTAACACGGAGACAGCCCTATAATTTGTCTGGACATTCTATCTACTAATGCATTATACATTATACAGCAGTGGTATTATAAAATAGAATTTTCCATTAGCTTTAGGTCCTTTGTTCAAATGAACTCTTTTTATTTTTTATTTGTTATGAATATTCATTGAGTACACAGCGAATTGTCACCACTGTGCCTAAGATGTGATGGCCAGATCCATACTGGCAGCATGCCCATTACCACAAATTGTGATTATATCCATGTCCCCCATCCAAATATCCCCCCAGTTATCCCTGACTTCCCTCCCTGTTCAAATGAACTCTTACTTGAAACTCTGATATGGAAAAGTAGATCGCTGGTTAAAGTAGGGCACTCAGGGAGCAGAGAGTTTTTCCAACCTTCCCAACACACACATTTCCCACAGTTTTTGTCTTTTTGTCTTTCTGCTTCTTTGTTTCTCCCTCCTCCCTTCCTTCCTTTCTCTCTCCTTCACCTCCTCCCAGTTTCTCTTTCTGTCTTTTTTCTTCCTCCTGCCGCTGCCTCCCCTTCACTCCCACCCCATGAAACACACAGAGTTTCTGAGGAATCTTACTGGTTGCATCTTAGCACAATTGGAAACCCTCAACTTTAGAAACAAAATGTGTTATAAGAATTAAACGTTAAAGCCACCTACATTATAAGAATTTTCCTTACAAGGTACCTTGTTAATTAAATACTCTAATGATTTAAGCCAGTAGATGACAATGGCAGAAGGTGATGTCTGGCCTTATATTTGCCTGTGAAAAGAAGACAAAATATGCGTGAGCTCAGGATTGAGGTACACTTGATAACTGTAACAAGTGGTATGAGAATGCACAGAGATCCAGAAATTATGTGACAAAAAGTCAAAGGTAAAAAGTCACAAGCCTGTATAGGTTGTTGAATGCAGAAATAACAAATTACTTGGGAATTTTAACTTTGATTCTGACCTTTCTTTTTTTAATTCTCTTAGTGTAGTCAATCAGAATATTAATATTTTCTCCATTTTGACTAGCTGCTGTTGGAAGCACAGTATGCTTAATGAACTATTGGCTTTGTCATATCAGTGAAATCTTCAGACTTTGGCTTTTTTATGTTTCATCTTTTAATGTGTTATTTTAGAATCCATTTAAATACATTGTTTAAATTTTTTCATCTTTTAATCTAAATTTTATCACACTGAGATTTTTCAGTCATGGTGTAGCACTGGGGATTGAGAACATCCAGTTTTACACGTAGAGAAACTGGAGGTTAGTTAACTTGACTGAAATACTAGAATCAGAATTAGACTCCTTTTACCCTGGTCCCAGATGGTACTGTGTTGCTTCCTCTCTGTTGTAATTTGATGTTACAGGGTAATCAGTTACCCCTGTTTGGATCCAGAAGCTTGCTGGACAGAGGTAATGAATATTTATGACAGACTTTCCTTTTGTATTTGATCTTCCTCACTTTTTGTGTTTTTAAGTTCTCAAAGAAGTCAGATGGACCCATTAAAGACCAAAGGCTGGGGGGAAGAGCAAAATCACGGAGTCAGAACAACTCAGTTTGTTCCAAAACAATGTGAGTTCCCAGATTTAGCCCTGTCTTGATATATTGACCTTAGTTCATATTACAGTGTGCATATGAAGTTGAAAATTGACATACAAGTGAAGATGGTATACAAAGGTTTAAAACATTGTCACACCATAAGGCATTGACAGGGACTTACCCAATAAAAAATCTATTTAGTAAAACTGTTTCAAGATGAAGTACATTCATAAAATGCCTCTCAATTATTATTTCTAGCTCCTATATAGTAGTAAATATTTTATAAGCATAAAATTAATTTACTTATATATCTAGTATTCATTTCCTTATATTTCTCCACTAACTGTGCACTAAATAACACTGAATTATAGCTTGCCAAATGAGCAGATATTAGACAGTTTACATTAAAGATTATGTTTAAAGAACAAAGAGATTTATGTATTTTTAGGCAAGTTAGTTTGTAATGTGGCTAGTGTCTTTGGAATTCATTTTAGCATTTCAATGTAAATGAATATCTTGATGCTTTGGAAACTGATGATCAATCTATATGATTGATTAGTAAAGGAAACATTTAATCTTTTCTTTATCATCCTCACAGATAGAGTTGTTGAAACAAGGGGACTTCTATGTCCAATGAGAAGTGAAAAGAGGTACATGATTCAGTTCATTCTAGGTTTTCTTTTAATATACATTTTCTTATTTTATAAGTTATATTTATGAGTAACTAGGTCTAAGGAATTAGTGAACTGTCATTAGCTCTGGTAGCTGGTCAGCATATATGGGTAGATAGGTAGCTCTTGTGTCACATACCCCTCCTAGCTTGGGATGGGTGCCCCTTCTAAGCATCAGGAGTTGGGAGAAGCAGGTGCTTCTTAGGAGTGTGGTGGGGTGAGCATCTCTAGTGATTAGTATCTCTAATATAGGAATAGTGAAGGCAGTTCTGCATGCTTTAGGATTTTGGATGATAGTTAGTTTATAGCAGAGTTTGTAAACTATGGCTCATGGGCCAAATCTGGCCCACCTGCCTATTTTTGTGAGTAAAATAAAGTTTTTTTTGAACACAGTCATGCTTATTAATATACATACTGTCTTTGGCTGCTTTTAAACTACAGTGGTAGAGTTGAGAAGATGTGACTGAGACCGTAAAACCTGCAAAGTCTAAAATATTTACTGTCTACTCCTTTTCAGAAAAATTTCCTGACCTCTGGTTTAGAGGACTATATAAATTCAAGGCAATTTTCGATAACAAATTATTAAATCTTAATTCTAAAACTAGTCTAGTATGAACCAAGTTAAAATCATCCAGCAGAAGTCTGTTAATTGCTCTTAATTTTTTTCTTAGGTGTTCAAAGGGGAAATTTTCTGATACGGAGAAGACATTTGGAATCAGACTTGAAAATGAAAATGTAAGTAGAAACCCTAGTTAAATTGTATATCTATTTACTCTTTCACCTGACTTATGTTTTGGTACCCATGAAAAATAAGAAAAATGGTATATATTACTTTGATTGCTAATTCTATTGTTTTCTTTTAAAAAAGCAGCAAGCATTGAAGAATACAATTTCTTGCTTCCTTCTGAGTTGCTAGATTTTCACCTCTATGCAGTAGCTACCTTTGTTTATAAGAGAAACCAACATGCCTCCCCAACAACCCTTATCAGTGTTGTATGGCTCTTTTGGAGAATTTTTAAAAAATCATACATCTCTCGGAAAGATATGAAATGCTCAGGACTTTGGTTTCAGAGTCATGGTTTCAGATTTACTTGAAAATATTAGCAATCTTATGCTTAATTGGATTTTACATTTTATGTATTAGTATTGGAATAAGAAGTGTTCCTGTGATCTCCATAGCAATGCCAATATTTTTAATAATGGCAAAGTATTTTACTAACCACTCTGAAATAAATATATTCCTAAATTAAGTGCAAACTTGAATTTTAGGTCATTTCACATTTTAGTTACATAGAAATACAAAAGTTTAGGGGAATGCTTTTTGTTCGTATCAGTTTGGTCAAGGTTGTGTGCTCCCACTAGACCTCCTCATAACAATTAGTCTTAAGGCTAAGTCACAGTCTTAAGTCATGGTCTTAAGTCATAAGTTAGAACTTTCCCTTCTTTAATGTTTCCTATTCCCAGTAATTGACAGTGGAGCCTTCTGTGTTTATCATTATTCACCTGTGAAGAAAAAGCCAAAAGAAGAAGGGAACTAAGCCTGAGAGAGGACAGAGTGGGGGGTGTCTGGAACCTGGATAAGGACTACATCCTGCTTCCATCCTTGCTAAACTCAGACTGCTTTCTGGGACCCTGGGGAAGAGCCAGCAGCTGCTGGTTTCCGAGGACTAGTAGACCTGGCTGTTAGCTAGATTGAAGAGTACTGAGTAGTTGTACTAATGTGGTTCTAGTCCAAAGTTCTATTTCTAAATAAATTTCCTAATTTTAAAATAGCTAACCTACTAGATGACTTAAATTTGGTATAAGGGTTACATAGGGTTATAATAGGGAAGGGTCTTATCAGGGTTTCTGAGGTGCTGGCAGAATTCTATTTGTTGACCAGAATGGTGGTTATATAGGTGTTCATTTTACAACAATTAAGTGATCCATTAATATTTTGTGTGTTTTTCTATAATATACAGTTACTTTAAAAAAATAAAGTAGAACAAGATAATTTAGTATAAGGATAGCAGTGGTTTATTCTGAGTGATGGCATTATAGGTCATGGTTTCTGCCTTTTGAAACTTTCAAAAATGTCTTTTAACCACATTATTTTTAATTGGGATAAGAGAACTGAAAATACTTTTCTTGCTACCTTCAGGAAAAGTGGTTTCATGGTTTCATGGTTTATTATTGAGGTGTTCTGTGAGCCTTAGCTCTGGAGTTTTTTTTGTTTCCCCTTACAGGGACAGACAGACATGATAAGTCTGCTATACTCATTTGGGAGATTTGCTAGTTCACTTTTCTCTCTTGTTAATGGCACTGTTTTGTATTTCATGTATAGTGTGTATTTATATTTGTAAGTATCAAACATGTCAGTAGAATATAGAAACTTTTTTGATCAGAGGAGGGGACACCAGCTGGAGCCTGATCTATCAGAAGAAGTGTCAGCCCGACTCCGCCTGGGCAGTGGAAGCAATGGCTTACTCAGGAGGAAAATGTCAATACTTGAGACAAAGGAAAAGAATTGCTTAGGCAAAGACAGGGACAGAAGAATGGATGATCTCCTTGAACTTACAGAGGTATTATTTCTTATATTGATCAGAATAAGAGTCATGTTTTTAAGTAACTTCAGTTATCCTAACTTGAATGAATGTTATGTTTTGAGGACTTTCTTCAGTCTAGGGATAAATGAATGAAAAAAAAACAGGCCCAAGGTTTGTTCATTCACTTTGGTTACATTGATCATTAGTGATCCACGAAGGTGGCCTAAGGGATCATCAGATTAATGTTCAGCAAATGTGAATAGACATAATTATCACATATCTTGGAATATAATGGATTCTTTTGTAGATTCTTTTTCTAACCTTCAAACATGTTGAGTTACATAGCATAGGTTTGGCATTTGGAATAAGTTCATTGCAGTTTTTTCAAGTGATTATAGTTTACTGAAATGTCCCTTTCGTTGATTTTCATTTGAAAATAATAAAAACTTACAGAAAACAAGCAATTTAGGTAGTTAAAATTATAATTGAGGTGCGTTCACATCTTGGCTTCCTCTCCATTGTTGTATTAGTAGGTGGTAGTTCTATTCAGTGACTATCTCTTGAGCACTTAACATATATTGGGCATATAGGTTGAGAGAGATCCATAAAATAGCAAAACTGTGTGCAGTTGGGAAAAGCAGTAGTAAAAATATTCAGATGAAAATAATTTCTATTGGGTTTATAGATTCAATTTTGTAGCTTAAATATGCATTTATCTGCACAGTTCTTTAGTATAACGAAGCCATCTATTCTATAAGGAGTCAGTTGCCAGATTGCTGCCAGTTTTCCCAGTTTCTGCCTTTTGGCTTGTTTTCTTTATGTCAAAAATGGATAGTATGATCCCTCTTATGTCCTAATTTTATTTTGATGTTTTAAAATAAAAGTTTAGGAGGTAAATTAGGATTTTAGTATTATGAAGGGAGTAAAGTCTAGAAAGTTAGACACACCTGGGTCGAAATCTTGGCTCTGCCTTTTAATAATTATATGATTTTGAGCATGTAAAATAAATTCTCTGAGCTTCAGTTTTCTTTTCTATAAAATGGTGATAATACCTTCCCCATAAGCATCATGCTTGGCTCATAGTGCTCAATAAATGGTAGTGGGATAATTGAGACCATACTTTACATGTAAATATTATTACTAAATTATTGTCTCCAGAAGCTGATAATTGAACCAGTATTTGCTATAATCATTAGTAAGACTGCTTCGTAGTTGTAAGTTTAAATATTTTTATACTGCAATTTAGTAGGTCTTTGATAGTATATTTTTCTTAAGGGTCAGGTGTTACAGAGATGCAAAACTTTTTTCAGTCTCAGACTTCCAATATCTGATAGTAGTTCTATATTAAAATAGCAACCTCTGGACTTTCTAACTCAGGACATGGAAAAGGAAATCAGTAATGCCCTAGGCCATGGCCCACAGGATGAGATCCTAAGTAGTGCTTTCAAATTGCGAATTACTCGAGGAGATATCCAGACCTTAAAGAATTATCACTGGCTCAATGATGAAGTAAGTTGTTCCCCCTCCCCCTCCTTTTGACTATCACTATGTTTAACTGTTTACAATCCGTAGCCAAAGTGATTTGTACCCGTTTGGTAAAGCAACTTTTATTTAAAATAAAAACTCTTAAACCTTAAAGGATGCTTAATTCTGATTGTTTCTTGCCTTTAATTAGCAGTATTTCCCCCTTCTGCATCTGTGCTTAGTTGCATCCACCACTTCATTTACTAGTTTACAATGACGTTTTTATAAACCCTGGGTGCAGCTGATGAATGGAAGGAAGCAGCAAGTGATACTTTATTTTATATGAATTCTTATAGGAGCTGTTTTATATTTTCAGTAATAAAGGGATACATTGATCACTATGTACATATTGTGTTTTTTCTTTACTTTGTTTGAGTGATAACTGCAAAAATTTGCCTAATTTGTCTTATATCCTTACACATTTGGCAAAAGCTATCTCTTAGTTCTTCTTGCCAATTTTTCAGTAGGTCTTTTCCGTAACTGCTCAGTCCCTGTGTCTTCTCCCTTTGCCTTCCTTCCCCCATGACTAGTTACCTATAAACACATTCTTTTAAAACAAGAATGTTTTGTTTTATTTATAAATGTGTTTATTAGAGAAAATTTGGAAAATGCAGGAAAAGTGAAATAAAAATTCTATTCTTCAAAAGTGCCACCACTCGGGCCGGCCCGGTGGCGCACTCGGTAGAGTGCGGTGCTTGGGAGTGCGGCGGCACTCCCGCCGAGGGTTCAGATCCCATATAGAGACCGGTCCGCTCACTGGTTGAGTGCGGTGTGGGCGCGACACCGAGGGTTGTGATCCCATTGCCGGTCACGAAAAAAGACAAAAAGGAAAAAAAAAAAAAGTGCCACCACTCAAAAATAGACAAAATACTAGTATTTTGGTGTATTTTCTTACAGTTAATATTTTTAAATTAAGGTATAATTTATATATAGTAAAATTCACCTCCTGTTAATATTTCTGCATATCTTTTGTGTGATACAGTTACATACACCTTTTCGTTATTGTGTGGACTTTCTCCTTGGGTTTCTTGTGTCTTTCTTAAGTGCTTAAAGTATATTTCTTTCCTTCTTAATCCCTCCCACTTTGCACTGATCATTTTTCCCCTGTCTTCTGCTATAAGCAGTCCTTTTATCCCCCTTTTTTTTAGTACCTTAACTTCTAATTCTTCCTAACTCAGGTAGAAGTTTAGTTTCAGTAATATACTTGTCATGTTCCAACTTTTACCCTCTTGATATTTTACAGGTCATTAATTTTTACATGAATCTTCTGGTGGAAAGAAATAAAAAGCAAGGCTATCCAGCACTTCATGTGTTTAGTACTTTCTTCTATCCTAAATTAAAGTCTGGGGGTTATCAAGCAGTGAAAAGATGGACCAAAGGGGTAAATCTCTTTGAACAAGAACTTATTCTGGTGCCTATTCATCGGAAGGTACATTGGAGCCTGGTGGTGAGTTGAGAGAGTCTATTGTTGGAATTTGGATAAAGACTTTTTTTAAATAATGAAGGTTACCCATTTCTGTCCAGTGAAAGGCTGATAGTATATGTTACAGGCATACTCTGCAGAGTCCCTTCTTAATTATTGAGTTGAGCAGCTTAGAAAGCTAGAAGACATAGTCCCTATACTTGAGGAGCTTTCATTTTTAACAAGAAAGAGTTTTAATACACAGAAGGGTATTTTAGTTTTGTTTACAAGATGGTACAGGTTTATTATAGAAAAGTAAAGGTATAGGGCCGAGCCTGTGGCGCACTCGGGAGAGTGCAGCACTGGGAGCACAGCAGTGCTCCCGCTGCGGGTGCGGATCCTATATAGGGATGACTGGTGTGCTCACAGCACTCACTGGCTGAGCGCGGTGCGGCTGGTCTCAAAAAGGACAAAAAAAATAAAAAAGAAAAAAAGAAAAGTAAAGGTATAAGAAGAGAGCCAAAAAAAAAAAAAAAAAAATCACTCTGAGAGGAACACTAATGTTTTGGTGAATAAGTTTCTAGGAATAGAAATGTGTAACTTTTTTTTTTTTTTTCCTTTTTGTCTTTTTTCGTGTCCGGCAACGGATCGCAACCCTCAGTGTCGCGCCCGTACTGGACCGGGACCGGCAACGGGATCGCAACCCTCGGTGTTGCTCCCACGCCTCGCTCAGCCAGTGAGCGGGAACCGGTCTGTATGTGGGATCCGAACCCTCGGCGGGAGCGCCTGCCGCGCTTCCCAAGCGGTGCACTGTAGCAGTGCACCACCGGGCCGGCCCGAAATGTGTAATTTTAAATTCATATCCTCTGTGATATTTTGTAACTCCCTTCTTTTTTTTAAACTGAAAACATACATCTTAGAAATTCACTCATGTTGGTACATGTATTGATTTTTTTTTTAAAGATGCTTTTCTTCTTGGAAATAAAATTCTCACTCCAGTTATATTTAAGACGTTTCTGTGTGTTGCATTTTTCCATTTTAGGTGATAGACCTAAGAAAAAAGTGTCTTAAATATCTGGATTCTATGGGACAAAAAGGCCACAGGATCTGTGAGATTCTCCTGTAAGTAAAGAATGAAAAACTTCACTGTTGTCTCCTTATGCCCTTGTTAGGTGATCTTTCTTCTATTTAATCATAGGAATGTCTGTGGATGGTAGTCTAATGTATAGTTAAGGCTGTCTTCCCGATTATTCAGGATTTAACTTGAGTCCATTTTTCTGTTTAAAAATAACCGACGTCTGATCTCAACTGAGAAGTCATGCTTAGTAGCAAACTTGAAAACAAGTTTGTCATGTGTTTAACGTAAAACATTTCTTATTAGAATCCTGTGATTTGAATTAGATTTCTTTGGAATTGAAAACATTACTCTTAATGTTCCAAAGAACTGTTAGCTGGGGAGTATCAGTCCTCTAAATTCTTAAGCCTACATATATCTCTGTGCTTTCCATGATAGTTGGGTTCATATCATAGAACCAGGAGCAATTTTTAAAGTATATGGTTTGTAGGCAACTATTTCAGATAGTAGTTATTAGAAACCTGCTTTTACTTATTAAATTAAATTTTATTTTTGGCAGCTGGCCAGTAAGGGGATCCAAACCCTTGACCTAGGTGTTATAATAACGTGCTTTAACCATCTGAGCCAACTGGTCAGCCCAGAAACCTGTTTTTAAAGCATAGCCACTTTCTTAGCTACATAAAGTGTTGACATGAATTCCACAGTGAGGAAGCATATCAGTATGATGAGTCTATTTTGAACATTTTCTGCTCACTGGAAGCAAATACAGTTTCCTACTTTTAACTTTTTAGTAAGGATAAATGAACTTGTTAAGTGAATCTTATGAAGAAAAGTTAACAATAATTAGTTCAATATTGTTTTAGTGTAAAAGGTCCTTTTTATTTATGATTGTGTATCTTGAATAAAAAAGATCGAGAAGAAATTTTTTAAAATTATAAGATATACCATTTTGTTTATAAAGTGGTATTTCCTTCTGTGTAAGATGTGTGTAAATTGTGCACACATACATATATGTGTGCACATACACATACATACATATCACATGCATGGGAATGTTCTTACTAGTATTATACAGTATAATTTGATATGCTGCTTATAACAGGATATATTAAAACTGTACTTTTATTACATTTATACTTTTTTCTTCAGTATGATAGGTTCCATTCTTGTGGGTATCTGAGGCCCACTCCCTTTCCTGATGCCCCTAGTCCAGTTTGTCTCAACTTTTTTTTCTTATTATCACTTTCCCCCCCAGGAGAAAATTTTAATTAATTTAATTTCTCTATAACAAGAGAAAATAATACTAAGAAATGATTTGTTAGTTGAGTTAGCTTTAGAGGGCTAGAAACCATTCTAAGATTTTTTTTGCTTCCCGAGATCCAGTTTTCATCCCCTTGGGGGCGATACTGCTCCCATTGAGAGTGTACACCCTGGTCTGACACTGGCTTACCTTATATGCAGGTTAGGATGAAAACTGAGGTGTCTGGGTTGTTAAACTTGACAACTTTCTGGAAATGTGGATAAAATTAATCACTCTTAAGTATATATCTCCTAAGAATATGAAGAATTTCTTACATAACCACAATGTCATTATCACTTAAGAAAATTAATAACAGTATGTAATATATGGGCCATATTCTAATTTCTGCAGGTATCTTTTATAGTCTCCCCTTACCCCCCCATCCAGGAGCCAATCAGGGCTTATGAATGTTCCTGATGTCTCCTTAGTCTCCTTTAATTAGAATAGTCTTCTTGCCCTTTTTGTTTTTCATGGCAGTGGCTTTTTTTTTTTAGACAGTCCAGGCCAGTTGTCTTGTTTCATATCTACTTTTAAGTGAGGAAAAGCAAGTCGTAAATGAAGTTCTTTTTAAATAGAATAAAGTATATGTTTTTAAATAGGGTATATGGGGTGGGGTAGAAAACTAGAAGAATATACAGCGTACTGTTAATAGATATTACTTTTGGAATGGTTATTATGGGGGTCTTTTGCTTCTTACAGTATTTCATATGTTTTAATTTTTTTAAAAAAGCATGCACAATTTTTGTAAGCAGAAAAGAAACCCAAAATTAAAAAACCAAAAGTCAAAAAAAGCTAATGGATATGGATTTGAGAATAGCACATCTATTAAACATCACAAAAGCCCTTTGTAACCATAATGGTTATGATTCATCAATTTATTTCTTTATTTTTTTTTTTAGTCAGTATTTACAGGATGAAAGTAAGGCCAAAAGAAATATTGACCTGAATCTTTTAGAGTGGACCCAGTATAGCATGAAACCACATGTAAGTGATCATCACCTATATTTGAATTCTTTGGTACATTTACTAACAGTATCATATTATTCAGTCTTGGCTTCCTTCCTCCTCTCACTCACTCCCTTGGGCATGCATTCTCCTAAAGCATACATCTTAAGAATGACCTGCTTCTAAATCTTTAGCAGTTAATTTAACCAAGATGTTTGCTTAGCTTTGATCTTCTTGTTCCAAATGTAAATGTTGACTATATGCTAGCACATCTCTCAAGGAATTGGGGGTAAAAACTCCAGTGAATTCAAGTTAGATACTTTTCCTGATTAGTTCTAATGAAAGTTTAAAATTCTCATCCAAAATTTATCTGGGAATTTGTTTATTTAGGTCTTAAGGGTCCCGTGCCATGGTCATCAGGAGTCAAGTATGCTGGTTGTGAATGTGTTTGTGTCTTGCCAGATATGCATCTTATTCAGAGTTTGAAAATGCTCCTCTTTTGAATCCTGATGGCTTGCCTTTAAAGTAAGCTACATGAATTCAATTTTAGCCCTAACCTATGTATAATAGCTCAACCACCTTTATCCAAAAGCATTTTAATTAAATTGAATAATTCGAAGGTTAAGCTTTGAATCCAGAAGAGAGCACAGGTATAACAGTCTGTTAGGATGAATACTATGTTCTGGTATGGGAAATGTAACAAATAAAACAAATTCTCTTCCTTTGTATATTGGAGTCTGTAGTTCTGTCCACTCTGAGAATTTCTGGGCTCAGGAGAAAAGCGTGAGGTACCTGCGTGTATGTATGGGAGGTGTGTGTGTTCAAACAATCTTCTTTTTTACAATAATCACCTGCATTTCTTTGAATAAAAATCAAGCTATTGTCCTCTAATGTGTTTTCCAGCGGTGGAATCAGCCTCTCCATACTCTTACCATCTTGTGCTCCTTATGACTAACCACCAAAGTGTGCAAAGGGCTGGCCAAGATTAGTGCGGTGCAGCACAGGCCTGGGGAATGTGTGAGCTTGCCTCACGTGGGTTTGGAGTCTATCATCTTTGGCTTATGATGCTCTTAGCTCTGCTTGCAGCAAGTTCTGTTTTTGCCTCAGGACAGAACTGAGCAATCAAGGCAAGATCCTAATTGGTTAAAGTCTATCTAGAAGCTTCTTTCTCTGTCCCACTTGAAGCTGTGGGGTTCCAAAGTAGTAGTCTTATTTTCTTAGCTAGTGAAGAGAAGTTAAATTTCTAACTGATCCACACTTAGCCTTTTAAAAAATGTATAAACTCTTCTGAAATAATTCTGACTAGCATTCCTATTCTTGGTAATAAACCTCCTTTCAATTTAGTTTCTTTGAATGAGAGCTGAGATGGAACTCTCACTTTGCTTTTTCTCCCTTCCTCTGGAAACATTTTCTGTGGGTCACATATTCCATGTCATGGTTAGGGGTTTTGTACCACATAGAATAAGACTAATTGTCTGTGTGTGTGTCTGTGAGTGTGTAGAATGCTAGATTTAATATTTATGGTGGCTGGCCAGTATGGGGATCCGAACCCATGGCCTTGGTGTTATAACACCGTTCTCTAACCAAGTGAGCTAACCGGCTAGTCCAAAATTTAATACTGTTTATCCACAGTGGTATTTAGAAAAAGTCCAAGAAGGTTGTATTTGATGATTTTTTATCCCTTCCTCCCCTCTCTTTTTTTGTAATTTTAGGAGATTCCTCAACAGTTGAATGGGAGTGATTGTGGAATGTTTACTTGTAAATATGCAGATTATATTTCTAGGGACAAACCTATCACATTTACGCAGGTGAGTGAAGACCCCTCTCCTTCCACTTAATTGTTACTAAACAAGATAAACTCAAAGTGCTTTGCCATCACCAGGCACACTAAGCTCTCAGTAGTAGTAGCTGTGCTGCTAGTATTACTGCTGTAAACCTTGGGCATAGCCTTACTCTTGGCAGCATTAGGATCTGTCATTTCATTTGCTCTTAGGCTTATCTTAGTCTTTGTGAACAATGGGACAATTTGCATATCTCTGAACCCCAGTGTACACTGGTTCCTGTATATTACTGATATTTTTAGTCAAAGAAGGAGGCATGTCAGAATTTGTAACAGCAAGGGAAAAATCAGGCCTTGTGAGAACTTATGCTGCAGGTCTGAGTGTAATTGTGAATAATACTGCGTTTCCTTTCTGTTCTGGCTTTTCTTCATTCTCCATTTGAGTGGAAACTCAAATATGTTGGGAACTCTTGAGAATTTATGTTTTAACAGTGGATTCTCAACCTTTTTACAACCGAGAACAACACACATTACAAAATATTTTTCATCAACAGACCTTATTTTGATAGATGTTGACTACCAAACAAACTGCATTTATTGAGTAGTAGGACTGATAATCCCATTCCAACCTTTTGAGCAACATGAAGTAACTAAGGCTCCCATACTGAATTAATACAACTCCAGTTTAAAATAAAGGCACTTATTGGTTAGTCTCAGCAGTTTTACTAAAAATAAATGTGTAACTTTTTACTAGATATTGTGAACTATTTAAAATAATTTAAGAATCTTGTGTTAAGACTTTTTAGCCCCCTTCCTACAGCCCAGGTAGGAAATCATTAGTTTATAGAAAATTGGTATATCCAACTATTTATAATGACAAATTAGGAGTCCCTCAAGAATGTGAACTTCAGATTTCATCAAAAAAGGACAGTTGAGTTACAGGTAATTTTAGAGTCTGTGTGTTATTACTGCTTTGAAAATCAGCCTATGTAGTGATTATGAGTTAAAGCAGAATAATGTAGTAAGCAAAATATCATTCTTTGACTTTGCTAAATAGCAAGGAGTTAATTGTTCTCTGAACCTAATAACATCTTGAGATTTCAAAGGGGAAGTTGCTGTTTGAACATAATTGGCAATGTACAACATTTGATAGAGCAGAAAGAAATTTATAGATTTGTTTTTTTCTTTATGTAAAGTTTGTATTTTTCTCATATAAAAGCAGAATATATTCATTTTAGAATGTTTTGAAAATACATATAAGTAGAAAAGTTACCTATTGTGCCACCACATGGATATTTCTATTTTTTGTACATGTTTTTATTGTGAAGTTAGTACTGTACTATACTGTATAATTCTGCATCCTGCTTTGGTTTTCCTTAACATGTAAAAATACTTATAGTACATATCATATAATTATAAACATTGTAAACCTCCTTTTTTATGGCTTTATAAGAATGTGCCATGATGTGAAAATGTCAAGGCTTACATAAAGAATTGTGGTGCTCTGCTAATGTTGGAATCCTACCAGTGTGGCCAATTGTAAAGCTACACGACTACACCAGTTGTCGGGCTCTTTTACCTGCCTGTAATCCTGCACCAACTGGGCCAATTGTTGAGCTAGGGCTGGGTCTGGAGCTCCCAGACCCCTAAAGCTTGTTGTCCAGACTGGGTCACAAACCCTTCACACGCCAGGCTGGGTCCCCAGGCCCCTGACACGCCAGGCTGGGTCACCAGATCCCTCACCAGGCCGGGTCACCAGACCCTTCACACGCAGGTCTATGAGCTAGGTAATCGGCAAACAGGTCCTTGGAAGCTGTAGGTTGGAAAGCATGGCTGCACGGAGTGGAAGCCCAAGGCAGACACCAGCAACGTGTGGTGCTGCGCATGCGTACCAACTCCACCAGCACACACACAATTTGTTTACTGAACCACCCCCAACCAGGCCTGAGGCGAGAGACCTGACTAAAGTATTCTATTTTCCCAACAGGAACATAGACATCTTACTTTATTTACACAATTACACCTGCAGGCTGTGACACTGTGCACATTAATGTATAATGTGTGTGCTGTTTGTGACTCTTTGCAGCACCAGATGCCTCTCTTCCGGAAGAAGATGGTGTGGGAAATCCTTCATCAGCAGTTGCTGTGAGAATGTCCTGCCTGGTCCCTCTAGCTGCTGGTGGTTCTTTCACAGATGTTTCCATATACCTCATGCATTGTGGGTTAAAAAGTCCCTGCATCACTTCTGTTCTCTCACAGGTACTGAGCTGTCAAAAGTGCGTGAAGGTCTCACTGCACCCTCCTCCTGACTTGGGGTGCAGAGGGCTGCTTGCAACCCTGTTTGTAAGGCTGTGCCTGCTCAGAGACCTGGACTATTCAACCCACACAAGAACAAACGCTAATTACTACTTTTTTTTTTGAAGATTTTTTTCCCTATGAATGTGGGAAATGCAGGATTTATTTTGTGAATTTTTTTTCTGTGTATTGTTCACTCATTCATTTGCAAATATAATGGGCAGTGGCCATTGTCAGCTGCTCTTTTATAGTTAACTCTAAATTACTTGTTTGAATATTTATTTCTAAAAGGAATGTTACTTAAGCTGCCACTCCCCGCTGAAGACCAGGAGGGAAATCATTGGGGGAGGAGGAAATGTTAATTAACTTCTCTAATGCTGGAGCAGTAACTGCCAACTTGAAGCTGGAGGGTTTTTGTTTTTTGAGGCTTGAAAATGCCGGGAGAAATGAAAATGCTGTGGTATAGGGCTCTGGTTGCCTTTCAGAGGAAGTTTGACACTACAGCATTGGCACAATGTTATGGAAAAGTGGAACTGTGGCCAAGGAACTCTGGCTATCCAAGCGTCTTCAGAAGAGTGTCGTGGTCATCTTAAAGAGACTTCCCTTTCTGGAAATAAGGTGACTTGGCTTACTCTTGAAACTGGATTCGAAGTAACTGTAAACCCTAAATCTTTATTTTCATCCCAGATCTGGTTGAGTATAAACCTCAGAATTGTAAGGGCTGGCCTGAGCTGTTTATTTCAGAAGATACTATTCAACTTAAAGCTATTTTTCCTCAAAGTTTTTTTTCTTCTATATATTAAGGCAAAATTAAGTTTTATATTCATTAAAATTATCCCCTCACTCCACCCCCACTAAAATTTGTGGAAGAAAATTTAGTACTTGGCTCTGAGGTTGTCAGTTATACAGTAATCTATTTTGCATATGAAAGTTTGTATTTAACTTTTTTGTTCATTAAAAATCTTACAGATGTGGTTATGCATTTTTGATTTCAGAAAGTTTAGAGTTGGTCAGAACATATTTTGCAAGATCTAGTGCCTAGTGTTGCTTTTCTGATGTAATAAAAGGTCATCTGGCAGAACCTGAAAAGTATATGTTGGAATGATTTCTAACCCTTTCCCTACTTAAACCTCCCAAACTTGTTCTGGTACATAAAAGCTAGAGGTAAAACTGGAATTACTGGGCATGTATTAGCTTTAAATCCACATGTCTGCCATTTGGAGGCCTCAGGCTCCTAGTAACAGAGGCATCCTGCTTGTAGCTGTTACAACTAGTTTTCCCTGAGACTTGTAAAAGCCTTGGTATATAGGACCTGGGGCCTGGGATGTGGATTGAAACTACTGTGCCTACTTGATGGCCGGACCAGAGGCCATGTGATTAGGTGGTGATTAAAGGGGAGTTAGTTGTACTAAATCTCCCTCCAGCCTAGGCTGCACAGAGAACCCTTCCTGCAGCCCCTGTTCCTTCCCCAGGGTTCCTGGAGCTGTGCCAGTGAGTACTGGGGTCAGGCATCTGGCATAGCCAAAAAGAGCCAGAGGTTTACTGGATCGGCATTTTACTAAAAGCCTGGTTCCCACTGGGCATCAGTGTGTTTCACCTGAGAGTTTTTAGTACCTTGGTTAAGATTTATTCCATGTTAGGTGTATCCTGTTAGGAATGGCAGTTGGTATTCTGCCCAAATGGATGATGCTGGGGGTTAATGTAGTATTTGATGGGCTTCTTAAGAGCAGCTTTCACTGAGCTTTCCATTAAAAGGGTAGCTCTTTTTTTTTTTTTTGTCTTTTTTCGTGTCCGGCAACGGATCGCAACCCTCAGTGTCGCGCCCGCACCGGACCGGGACCGGCAACGGGATCGCAACCCTCGGTGCCGCGCCTGCACCCCGCTCAGCCAGCGAGCGGGAACCGGTCTGCATGTGGGATCCGAACCCTCGGCGGGAGCGCCACCGCGCTCCCAAGTGGCGCACTGTAGCAGCACGCCACCGGGCTGGCCCAAAAGGGTAGCTCTTAATAATCTTCCAGGACATAATGAAATTGATAAGAGCAGTGTATTAATCTGGAGTAAGGCCTTCTGCTTGACCCCAAATTCCTGAATTTAATGTGAGAAACCATAGATCATGCTTCTCTACGCACTGACAGGTCTCCCTTGGTGCAAAGAAGCTTGTTGGTAATAGACTTTGTATATTTAAACAGTTTATGAAAGAAGTGTTCAGGTGAGAAAAACAGCTATTGATTTCATCAGTACCAAATTATCAACATTAAAGCCAGTGATGGGCCATCCCGGTGGTGCACTGGATAGTGCGCCGCTTGGGAAGCGCGGCGGCGCTCCCGCCCGGGGGTTCGGATCCCACATACAGACCGGTTCCTGCTCACTGGATGAGCAAGGCGCGGGAGCAACACCGAGGGTTGCGATCCCGTTGCCGGTCCCCGGTCCGGTACGGGGGCAACACTGAGGGTTGCGATCCGTTGCCGGACACGGAAAAAGACAAAAGACAAAAAAAAAAAGCCAGTGATTTTTCTTTTTTTAAGCCAGTCAAATTTAGCAGTGGGGGTTGTATACCAACTTTAGTGGCACTAATGTTAGTCAGTTCTGATAACCTCCTACTAATAGACTAGCTGATTTTTTTTTTTTTTTAATAGCAGTAGTTTGGGACCTGAAAAAAAGGTGCAATGAGCTGTTGACATTTTTCAGTGGGTAATCTTCCCTAAAAATATATACTGTTGGGGGCTGGCCAGTTAGCTCAGTTGGTTAGAGCACCATGTTAGTAACACCAAGGTCAAGAGTTCGGATCCCTACACCAGCCAGCTGGCAAAAAACAAGCAAAACATATATATATATATATATATATACACATCTATATATGTATATATGTACATATGTGTGTGTGTGTGTATATACACACATACACACACACACACACACACACATACACACTGTTGGTGATTAAGTATCTTTCTCGTGCTTGACCTTTTACCAGAACTGGGATGGGGTGGGAGGGAAATAGACTTGGGCATATGGAAGAAAATGTTCTTGGGAACCACATATACTACCTCAGTTATCTAAGGATATTAGAACCTCTGATTTTTTTTCTCCTCTGAAATCCTAAGCACAACTTGGGGACTGTCATGTCTTATGGTGAATGTTTGCCTGCATTGTGAGGAGCTGCCCAGTGCTAGGATCGAGGTGTGGGTGCAGAGAATGTATCCTTGGAGAAATAGTGAACCTCAGATACAATAAATCAGCAATATAGAGAAAGTTAAGTTTGTGATAACTTTAGTAACAGAGAAAAAACTTTGAGAAAAAGCTCCAAGCATCTGATGTTCAAACAAACTTTTGGAACTTTTGTTCCAAAATGTTCCACCAACATTTGTAAGTTGGTGATATAGATGGCTGTATTGCTTTGATAATTTTTTTCTTTTAATTTACCTAATATATACAAGGATTATATGTGATTATATATGACACTAAAGTTTTACAAAATAGTACTTATGCTTACTATACTGATAGTTTTATTTCAGTTTTAAAAATGTGGGTTGTGACCCTAAATTGATTTCTCCACCCACTTAATGGATAGATATGCAATTTGAAAAACACTGCTCTAAATGACCTGACAGAAAGATGCAAATTATGTTTAAAACTATAAAGCTTGAGACCAAAAACATATATTAATAAATGTGAGACTGTTTTGAGATGAATCCATCTAAATCTAGGAAAACATGCTGGAAGCTTTCAAACCCTTAATGGAAAAATGTGGTGTAAACAATTTTTATTCTTCGGGTTTTTACATTGGCATATTCTAAAATGCTAAGCAGAAGTCCTTTAACTTTTTTTTTTTTTTTAATTTTTTGGCAGCTGGCCATGTAGGGATTGAACCCTGGACCTTGGTGTTATCAGCACCTTGCTCAACAATTGAGCTAACCAGGCAGTTCCTATCCTGTAACTTCTGTAAAGGATATAAAACAAAGGATTCTATGGCCCAATGAATATGTCCTTTTTTCTTGGGGATACATAGCAAACATTATAAGTTTTGTACTAATGAATTAAGACTCTCAACCTGGCATTTCCCAAATCTTGGACATTGAGCCCTTTTCTATGAGACACCAATGGAACTGCTTTACGGAATACATTTTGGAAAGTGCCAGAAGCAACATAGAGTTCTTGGAAGCATATACTTCAAATACATGCTGGGAAGCCTTCCACTCCCCCACCCCCAACACAAATATGCCTTCCTTAAGGGCATATGGTGATCATAAAGTCTGTGGTCCTACCATACCACCCTGTCCCCTCTTATACTTTAATTATATCAGTAATAGATGTTCACAGTAGAAAAATAAAATACTAATAAAAGGTAAAAAGTAAGAATTCTGGGGCCGGCCCGGTGGCGCACTGCTACAGTGCGCCGCTTGGGAGTGTGGCGGTGCTCCCGCCGAGGGTTTGGATCCCACAGACCGGCCGCTCACTGGCTGAGCGAGGTGCGGGCGCAACACCGAGGGTTGCAATCCCGTTGCCGGTCCCGGTCCGGTACGGGCGTGACACTGAGGGTTGCGATCCGTTGCCGGTCACGAAAAAAGACAAAAAAAGGAAAAAAAAAAAAAAAAAGAATTCTGCAAAGTCACCACCCAGAATTAATACCTCTTACCATTAACATTTTGGTATATATCCTGGCCTTTCCCCATCCCTTCATGTATGTATGAAAGAACAGGCATGTATGCTTATGTGTGTATATACTTTTTGTTGTTAACAAGTATGGAATCATATATGTATGGTTATAGAACCCCTTTTCCACTTAATCTGTCTTGAACATATTTTCATGTCAGTGGATACTGATGTCATCATTTTAATTGCTTCATAAAATTCCAGTGTATGGCTATAATTTATTTAATCCAGTATTATTGGACATACCATCCTGCACAATGTTTGGGTTATTAGGAGAAATTCTTAGAATTAAAATTTCTGGGTTCAAAAACAAAAAGCAGATTCAGAAAAAAAACCACCCAGTGGTATTTTGACTTTTACTTCTTCCAGCACAGGATAATGATTTGTATCTCCATTGATTTAAGGTTTACATTTTTTGTGAGTAGGCCTCTAGTTCATTCTAAGGGATTTAATGTCTCATTTTAGTAGACAATTTTATCTTTTTTTCAACTGCTTTACAAAAAACTTTTTATTATGTGGCTTTGAATAAATACAAAAAAAAAATGTAGAGAGAATAGCACAAGGAATTTTTATGTACTCATCACCCCCTTTCAGCAGTTATTAAAATGTGGCTAATCTTTATTTATCTTTTTTTCCTTGGGGAATGGTCAGGTCTGGAGTATTTTAAAGCAAAACCCTGGCATTGTGACATTCAGGACTACCTAAATACTTCAGAATGTCTCCCTAACTAATAACTTAAAGGAAAAACAAACCTGTCATGTTCACACCTATCAAAAATAAGAATCTGGGCCGGCCCCGTGGCTCACTCGGGAGAGTGTGGTGCTGGGAGCGCGGAGACCGCGGGTTCAGATCCTATATAGGGATGGCCGGTGCGCTCACTGGCTGAGCATGGTGCGGACGACACCATGCTGAGGGTTGCAATCCCCTTACCGGTCAAAAAAAAAAATTTGCCAATATCATCTAATGCTCAGCTCATATTTAAATTTCCCTGATCATTTAGAAATATTTTACCAAATTCTAATCAGGATATGTAGTAGGCTGAGTGGGGCTTCCAGAAAAGATAATGTTCACATCCTAATATGAGGAATTTGTAAATGTTACTTGGCAAAGAAAGAAAATTACCTTATATGGTAAAAGGTGTGATTAAGTTAAAGATCTTGAAAAAAGATCTTTATCTGGGTGTACCCTAAATGCAATCACGTGTCTTATTGCACGAGAGAGGGGGTTTTGCGATAGAAGAAGCAGTGGCAGATATTGAAGTAATGCTACCACAAGCCAAGGAAGCCTGGAGCCACTAGAGCTGCAAGAGGCAAGGAACTGATTCTCCCCTATAGCCTTTACAGGGGAACGCAGTCCCGTCAACACCTTAATTTCAGATTTCTGGTTTCAGAATTGTGAGAGAATAAATTGCTGTTTGAAGCCACCAGGTTTGTGGC